GGGGGCGCCCGCGGGTCGGGGCTGGGGCGCTCTCCGAGGAGCCCGGGCAGAACAGACACAAGGAGCAGCCCCAGAGCCCCCCACAGCGAGACCACCTCCGACATGGTGGGCCCGGGCTGGGAGGGTGCTCCGGGTACCGAGGAATCCCAGCGTTGGCCGGCCGCCGAAGTGCGCACGCGCACACTCGCGCCTCGCAGGAAGGACACGCCCACCTATTACTGGGGCGGAGTCGGGCTTTATTTACATAAAGCAGTGTCGGTCCAGTTTTCTTAATTTAGTTCCTTTCTTATCTATTTAAGTTTTCTGTTAGCCAGAAGTGCTCCACAGTTAAAAGTCTTAGAGAAATAGATTTAAGAGTGCTTTTTCAGACCATTACTTGATCACCCTCCTCGTAAAATGAAAGGCTTTTGAGTGCTATAAAGTCGACCGCCGTGCAGAGTAAGTCAGAGTTTCGTGTTGAAGGCCTGTTTCCTAGGCTACAGACGGAGGACTTGTTCCTGGATCCGCCTAGGGGAAAGTCCCCGGACCTCGGGCAGAGAGTGCCACGCGCGAACGTGCGCGGGCCGACCCGCCGCTCACGGTCCTCCGCCAAGAGGCGAGCCTGCGGGCGAGCTGAGCGGCGTGGCGGCGGGCGGCCCTCCGTCAGCGGAGCGAGTGACGCAGGCAGCGCGCTGCACGCGCGCCAACCACACGGGGCTCATTCTCAGCACGGCTCGGCCTTTTGATTTGCCCAAGTGCTAACGTCAGGGATCTCATTTTTTCCCTTAAACTGCCTCATCGACACCAGTGGTTCTCAGTCCTGTGGCTCGCGACTCCTTTGGGGATCATGGTCTTCGGAGCCGAGACGCCGCTCCTCTGTCCTCCGGGCGGCGCGCCCACATGCAGACGGGCTGATCTGCGGAGGAAGAGGCGATCTCCACCTTCGCACTGACGTTGGCTTTTTACTGTAGCAAAATGTAGCAACGTGGTTTACTGTTGTCATATTAAGACTGTTAGCCATGTTTCAAGTCAAAATTTCATTTGTCATTAGAATGTTTTGAGAATGATGAGGGCAATGAATGTACAAATGCGCTTTACACAATTGATGTATGGATGGATTGTGATAAGAGTTATATGAGCCCCTAATAAAACGATTAAAAAATCTTTCGCAATATATAATTACTTTTTGTGTGATGAATCACTATGCTTTAATGATGTTCAATTTGTAACAATGAAAAGACATCCTGCCTATCAGATATTTACATGCCGACACATAACAGTAGCAACATTATAGTTATGAAGTAGCAACGAAACTAACGTTATGATTCGGGGTCACCACACCACGCGGAACTGTATGAAAGGTTGAGAGCCAGAGATCTACGCTCAATCTACCAGGAAATGAGCTGAGGCCCACACACGTCTCAGCATTGCTGAGTGGATTCCGACTGGCGGCAAACCCACGTGACTGCCTGCCACTGACCCCCAGCTCAGCCGAGACTTTGAGCACATGGCCTGGCCTGTCGCCCTTACCCTGAAGCTCCTGAGGGCTCAAATCTCCTGCAAAGGCAGTAGCCCTTTGAACTCAATTCCGGCTGGTTCTTGCTTTCCGGAAACAAACTTGGGCCTACTACTGTCAAAGTTTTTTTAGTGTTTGTGTGGGGGTGGGTGGGGAGGGGCAAGGTTTGTTTTATTACTAAAAAAACCCAGCATAAAATCGAATCATTTGAAAAAAAAAAATCGAATCATTTGGATCTCCCTTTAGACCCATTTTAAATGTTGTTTTTTTTTAAATTTTCCTGCTTTATTTTTGATTGGGGGGGGTCCTCATTAAAAAAAATTTTTTGGAGGGGGTATGTTTTCCAATTTCAATTTTTATATGAATTTCAAGATGGGTCAATCTATAGAGATAGTAACTGGATTAATGGTTTATTGGGTTGTGGCAGAGGAGGCTATTAGGAAATGGGAGCAGGTAGCTGTGTGCAGGAAGGAAGAAAATGTTCTGGCATCGATTGTGGTGATGACCTGGCAACTCTGATATGACCTAACTATTGAAGCGCATGACGGGTGAATTATAAGCCAATGAAACTATCATATATATGAAAAACAGCAACAGATCAGGACTTTTAAAGTTCTTCATTGTTTACAAGGAATTAGTGTCATACCTTAGCACATTTGACACCCATATTAATCATTTAAAAAATTCTCCTCTTTTACATGACAAAATTATTTTCAGTAAGAATCATGAAATGAATAGTAAACTCCAGAAAAGAAATTATGATAGTGAACTTTCCTTTTATTGAACTGTGTATATGTAATTATGCTAGTATGTAAAATAAAATAATTTAACATTACAGAACAAGAAGAAAAAGGTAATGAATAAAAAGTAACTTATTAGTTACATTTTTTTGTTTGTTTTTGAGAAAAGGGGCAAAAAATCTCTACATATTGGTCTAAAAGATGAATAACATTACAAATTTTTTTTTTTTACAAATTTTGTTTTTGATCCTTAACTTTGACAAATTTGTCAATGACTTTGTCAAAAGTAATATTTGCATATGCAAAAGACAATGTAGCCAGAATTTTCTAATTATTTATCATAGTTGATCAAATAATATTTTACTAATTTTCCTTTCAAGAAGTTTCCTTCACATAAAGTACATGACATTCAAAGAGAGAATGTTTTAAATAGCTGGATACAAACAAACAAATAGATGGATACACTTTAACAAAGATTCATAAAAATTCCATTTCACATTTCTAGGAATTTTAAATATAAAAATTCCAAGTGGTCAGCGTGTCATACTTGAAATAAATCATTTAATTTTTCCAACTTCACAATCACTGTACTATCATTACTTATTTTAAATGTACAAGTTAAATCTAGGAACATATAGTCCAGCCACAAGGACCAGAGTCAGAAACTATGCTCGAAGCATGTTTGAACAATTTCAAAGTTTTCAGAACTGATTCTATAAATGAACGCATGCAACAATGGATTGTATGGATTGTGATAAGAATTTTACGAGCCCCCAATAAAATGATTTAAATAAATAAATAGAAGTTTAAAAAAAAATGAATGCATGCAGATGAATCTGCGTGTGTCAGGGACCATCTGTATCATGAGTGTTCCTGATTCATCTCCTTGTAAATTACAATGCTTATGAAGCGATAAGTAATAAAAATGTTCCAATTTGACATGTATATATTATTAAAATGCAATGGTTACCTTCAGAAATTTAGAATTGAAATCTATAAAATATCACACAGCCTCTTTGTTCAATTTTAGACTTGCTGGGACTTGCTGATAATGAAAAGGAGGCTGGTTTTAACGGGTTTTCTTTTTGATTTTATATTTTCTACAACATTCTACCCACTTGTCGCCTCCAACTGGAGGGGCGGGGCCTAGATCTGCCACGGCAGCCAATTTACACTTAAAAATTTATATGAACCAAACAGAACTGAGTTGTGGGCTAAGGTTTGGGCTCTATTTGGAAGCTACAGTCTCTTCTCGCATCAAAAGCTTCTGGACACACAGCAGGTACTCTACTTCTCTCCCCAAAGTGCAAGTGAGGAAAGGCAGGCCTCTGTTCCCCAGTAGAGCCCCTCCCCAGGGAGAGGTTTTTAAAATGCAAGTCAGTACTAAGAGGGACAGTTCTTAGGGACAATCTGGGTGAAGTAGGTGGGTCGGAGGGAGGGGCATATAGCTTCTACCCTCCCCCAAACTCTAATACTAGTAATCCTAGTGAGGGTCACCATGTAAACTAGCGGGTCTCAACCTAGGGGTCTAATGACCCTTTCCCAGGAGTCGCCCGATTCATAACAGTAGCAAAGTTACAGTGCTGAAGTAGCAACGAAAAATAATGCTATGGT